TGGAAAGCCCGCAGCCGCAATTTTCCCGAGCCACTGCCTTGAAGCGCGTTGCTCTCACTGTCTCCTTTTCTTAGCGTTCAAATTTGCTCTTTTGCTTATGATGGGATAATAAGAATGATTAGCAAATAACTTTAACTTACATACATGTTGGAGATTCACTCACCACAGGTAAAAGGCGATAATTTTTCTGGCCTATGTTACTATGTTTGATCTACTTTACTCATTATTTTCGAGGATATTTCCATTTCGTCTGTACAAATATGAACCATGCTAATGCCTTCTAGTTTTATCTCGATTTACTACCATAATTGTTTATTTCCACTTTACAGATTCGTGGCCTTGCCGAAGTAACTGTCGACTATACGTGTCACATCTTGACCTAGTAAGTTTGCAATAGACTTCTTAAAACGTGGCTCGGTTAACAAACTATGCACTGCGCTCATACATACCATCTCGAATTGCCGACATGCGCGCAAAATTAACATGTTTTCACCCAAAGGATATTTTGTATCCTCGAGTCATTAGTAGCTGACTTACTATATGAGTCTGCACACTATGCGCGGCAACCGACGCACTTACCGCTAACTCCTCGTCGAAACCTTTTCTAGCTTCAAGCTGTGAATTGTGCACTACTGACGAAGAGATGCCCAAACAAACCAAAAGAGACAAGGAAACAAGGAGAAAACCGGGAAATCAGCAGCGGGTTCCAGATGAAAGGTAGCGCGCACAGTGTGCAATACGCATATTAACTTAAAAACCCCCAATGATAGCCATAATCTGTGAGCACTGATCAAACCTTTGCAGGCTTGCTTTATAGGAAGAATTGGGTACTTTGCTCGAATAATGTACCCACCGTTAGGAAAACACATTTTCATAAACTCATCCACTTGGGCTGCATACTTGTCCATGTAGCTGATAGGATCTCCCTAAAAAAGTTGATAAGATCAAGATATAACAACAACTGTTCAAAGGACTCACTGCTAGTCCGTGCAAAGAAACCATATGACTTTTAACGTTGTTTTTCGAGTAGGTAGATGTAAAATCGCAGGCAGGACATTGGAACATTGGCTTGGCAACATGACATTGTCGAATGTGGCATGGCAGCTTTGAAGAATGCACGTCTTTCTGGCAGATCACACAAAATTGGAATGTGCAGGGGTAGGACTGAAATCAGAGGAACATTTGAAGTTGTTATATTTGTTTGCCAAGTCGTGTGTATTTGAAGTAAATAAAGTGTGTCAGCGTGGACCAGGAAATGAGTTTAAAAGCTATATAATGATATTGCGTACGCCAGCTCTCCTATTCTGCAAAAAAAGGAACTCTAACCTCCAACATTAAAGAAAAAGATAAAAATAAACGCTAATCTCCCACCAAATTCGTGGTGTGTGTACTCATGTTATCGGTACTTTAGATTGAGAATATTTCTAGAACTTTTTCCAAACTAGGCTTTCTATAAATCTTGTCATCTTGATGTACACTTATGTGCAGCTGCTGAGCTTCGTATTATCATTGTTTGAATTCTGACTAGGCTTACATTACGGCTTTTCACCTTCGTCAGAGCCTAAAAGGAGGTGCAAATGGAATGGCACTTTCTTAGGGATTGGCAAGATATATGCAAGATATATAAGACCGAAAAGTAAATGGTCCTAATTATCTAAACTGGAAATTTGGCGAGACAGCAAGATGCCCTTTTGTCTTCTGCTCAGACATCCCATTTCAGCGTTGCCTGAGGAAAGTGGTTAACAGTTTAAGCGCACGAAACGTAACGTCTAAACTTATGCAAAGAGAACTCGAGACCTATGATTCAAACTTAGATGACGCAGACATGTGCATGACAAATGTGTGCTTCTGAAACTGTTGCTGTTCGCCGGCGGCAAAGGAGAATGTGTCTCGAGATAACTACAGTCGTGACTTGTCATCGCGACAGCGAAATTAGTCTAGGAGAGATCATCAGGTGACAGCGGCTTCAATCTGCATTTTCGGCTTCACTAATTTTTCCACTTCCACCTTAAGATTCTTGTTACGAGAATACCCATTGCCAGTTTTCATTGACTCCCTCCGTTAAAATCCGTAACAGTTGGCGTTCGAGTTAACCGCAAATTACATAATCACAGTATTTCTGGAGAACATTAGCAAACGAGCAGGCCTTTAGCTGGTAGAGTAGAGGCAGATATCTGGAGGAGCTAAGCATCTCTTGAACTAATTTTTGCTCAGACAATCTCGTGAATTTCGGTGATAATCGCAATTTCAAAAAAATTTCACCACAGAAAGTGCATTTACCCCTGGAAGGAAAACGAAAGAAGACCAAGCACGAGGTCTCGCTGGTAGAGCTAAGTAGACCCTTTCCAGGGCATTACGGGACGCTAGTTTTCGCCGTTTTCTAGCTCTCTAATGGATTTTGAGGTTCATTGGATAACCCCAAGCAAGCGAAATTTGACTAGCTTGAATTGGAGACATTGCCTCTAAACACCGAAGATCTCAAACGTGCTTAATTTTCCGACTTATTTAGAAGCGTCAGGAAGTTACACTAAGTAGGAGCAAAAAATGATTACCCTTTTTCTTTCAGGTGGGGTTGACTGCTGTTGTTGTTGAATGGCGGCCCGTTGTTGTGCGGATGCTTGAGCTTGGGCATGGAACTGTAAAAATCATAACTTGTAGGAAGAAAGTTGAACGTCTTATGAATTGGGAAGACGTTATGCAAAAAAA